AGATCCACCATTTTGTCCATGTCGTCCGCTCTGGCAGCTGACAGGATGTCCTCCCACACTTTGGTAAATATGCGGAAATGCTGAATGCTTGGAGTGTGTTGGTCCACGTCAACTTTGTGTCTCACATGAAAAGAAAGTGGGATTAGCTCTCCAAGTTTCTCCTTCAGATATTCAACTTTTTCATCATCCGGTTTGGCGTGACACTGGAGGGGAGTGAGGTTCTCGGTGAGTGGTGAGTGGAGAAGAGTCTTTGATGTGTGTCTGTTAAATAACACGCTCATTTCTTCAATCATCACACGGGCTTTGCGTCTTCCAGGCAATCTTTTGTCATCGCACTGTGAATAAGCCCACTCCGGAAGTCTTCTTTTCCTTTGAGCTTTTGCAAAACGATAGGCCACCGTGACACAGTCTTCCACTTCCCCGAAACTGGGCGGCCCTCTATATCTCTTAGAGATGATGTCCTCTGCCTGTTCATAAGATAGCTTCCTGTTGGAGTTGATCAGGGACAGCTGAAACCTGGGCTTTCCTTCGACCTCGTCAGTGTCCTTTCGCACTTTGAACATAAGTGACACCACCCTGCGGTCTCTACCTGGCAGGAGACTGAAGAGCTCAGTGCTCTGTTCTTTAGGGAACATATGAATGGGTTCTTCTCCTTTTCCATAGAAGCTACAGCCACGTTCTCCTGCAATCTCATCTAATGTACCACCTGGCTCCACAAAACTTGCCACATCTGAAATATGGATTCCCAACTCATAGTATTCTCCATCCTCCCTGATGCTGATGGCATCATCCAAATCCTTGGCTACTGCCGGATCAACAGTGAAAGTGATTGTCTTTCGTTCATCCCGTCTGTCTGTTGTATCTTCTTCCTCTGAGGAGAGGCCATCGGTTTCAGGCGGGGTGGGTGACACTCCAAATTCCTCTTTCAGCAGCCAAAGCCTGTCACCCGAATATCCAGTTTTGGGGAGAATATCTATGACATTCCCCAAAGGATAAAAACAATGTTTTTTCCAGCCAATGACCTGTACTAAAAACACACAGTCTCTAACTTCTTTCAGATGCCGAAATCCTGTGATAGTCCAGTACCCATCACTTTGCTCCCTCACTGGAATAAAGTTACGTCTTCTTTTGTTGATATGTATGCAGATTTTGGGTGCATTTCTTTTGACGGGTATCATCAACCTAGGGATAAATGGTTGTGTGCTTTCTTTCTTGCTGTGAGCTTCATCCTCGAGAAAGCACAAAAATTCCTGAACTGTTTTGGCACTCTTGATGACGCAGACCACCCTGGGTTCTTGTATTTGAATGACCACTTCATCTCCACTGAATGCCTTCCCCGTGTTTGTTCTTCCCTGGATGCTTATCCGTCTGTTGGAGCCATTAAAAGGAACGAAATAACCAGTTGAATATGACAGCCGGACAAACTTTCCTCGCTCGAACATCTTTGGATGTTTGGAACATAAATCCAAGAGATCTGCCGGGTCTTCAATGCCTCTGTACCTCTGGGGATTCAACTCCTCCACATTGTCCTCATCTGAACTGGATTCTGTCTTG